CTCACTAAAAATCATTAAACTTTTTTTAAAGAAGTATTTCGATTATTCCAGTAGAACTATTTCATTTTTTATATAAAATGATGACCCCTAGGTGCGATCAAAAAAAAAAAATCGAAATTGCTTTTTTTTATTTGCTTGTAAGGTGGTACGGTCTAATGTACGTATACATGTATGTGTGTAGATATGTATAACCTCAGCGCCGCCGTTCACTCATAAAGATAACAAGCGTGAAAGCTGAGCTGCGCGAACATTAGCTACATTTTTATATTGCAATAGTTTTCTATTACGCGCGCAAGCAAAGGTATTGTAGACATATGCACATACATATATGTTGGTATACATCCATATACGCACATAAACGTTTATTCTTTACAAATTGAAATCAATAAATTAAATTAAAAGTCGCTAATAAATAGTTACGAATTCTCGCTTATCACTAAACCACGTGTTTTTGATTTATGACGTACATACATACATACATTCATACATGTGTACATACATACATACATATGTATGTACAAATAACCGGCAGTAGCCGGATAACCTTTATTCGTTATTATCTTCTAATGCTTATTCTTCTAAAATCGTCCGCTTCATTACCTTGTACGACATTTTCAGTGTTTTTTTTTCGATTTTAAGCGTTTTTTGTTATCAATTTGAAGTTGATGGTCGCAGATCGGACCCCAAGACCCCCCAAAGGGGCTTTTTTATGTACATATGTATAATTATTTGCATTTAAATAAATTTAACTTGTTTTAAATTCCGCTCTGTGGCCACCAGTTCCAATTGACGAAAAAAGTTAAAATCGCCAACCTAATAAAACTGAGAAATTGCTTTTCTATATACAAGCCAGACTTTCAGAAAAACTTGGTTTCATTTAATCCACAGTTGCAGGCACCGTTGGATAATTAGATGTTCTTCACTGTTAACTTTTTATTAATGGCAGCAACGACGGAGTTATATCACCAAAACGCATATCTGAAGAATAAGTGATATGGGAAATATCAAAAGCACTTTCTTTGGTCAGGATAGAGGGTGTCCCCTATCCAATGCTATAGACATTGCATTGGGCCGATAAAAGGGGTTTGCTCCTTTCTTTGCAAGTTTATTAGCAATCACATTTTCTGCAATACGAAATTCGCTTGGTCAGACCAAGCGCGTTCAGCTTATCAAGGCACTCTATCACCGGTTTACGCAACGCAAAGCATCAGCCTCTTTTATTTCGAAATTATAATTGATGGAAAAGACCAATTTGTTCAACTAAGTGCCTATTCGGCATTTGAATGTGGTTGCGCGCATTGGACGTTTCCATCAGTACTTTGCGGAGTTCGGTTATCTGTTAGTCTAAATCTTATCAGTGGCGGGTGGGTGGGCTCACACTATCACATATTGCGAAGTTTGTCAAAGCCAGCAAAAAATCCGAAAATGGGTCCGAAAAAGAAAAGTAAGCAAAAATCAGATTGTTTTGCTTATATGATCTCTTCCTATTTGTAAAATATACATTGCGCGATACTTACTCAGTACTTTTCAAAAAGCATCGCGTTCTCGATACTACCCGTACTCATGAAAAGTATCGATATTCTGTACTCTGTACTCTTATCGTGCTATCAGTAAGTACAGAGTAAATTAAAATTAAGAAAGCGTCTGACGGCAATCGAACCCGGCACCTTCGGAAAGCTAACAAATAGTCGCGCTCCTCTGCACACTCAGCCACTGCCGAAGTCAGTTTGAACAAATAAAAAAAAAAAACTATTGCTTTCAAATTCCAGGTTACATTTCGAACGTTTTTCGGATACGAAAATGAACGAACATTTAAGCATTTTTGTTGATATTATTGTGGCGTAATAATATTTCTATTTTAGCAATGTCATTGAGCTTTGTGCAACGATTTGTTTATTGGGAAAAATGGAAAAAGCAACAAAGCATAAGCGATTGAAGTTATAATTGCTATTTCGGAGATCACCACATCTCATCACTAGACTTCTTTCTCTAGACTTCAGCAGGATTCGAACTCGCATTTGGGTCGTTTTCTGTACGTTTCAACGCCTTGGATAACTTGGATTGTCCAGAATATTAATATTAGCTACTATGCCGAATAAACGGCGTTCAATGCTGAAAAGCAAAAAAAAAATTTAACACTTAAGTATCAAATCAAGAATTATTATTTTATTTTGCTTTTCAGTTCATTTGTATTATATTTTTTTACAGTAATTTTTTTTACGAAAGTGTAATTAAATGTTTAGCACAAATAATGCTTTTTGAATTAATTTCCTAGGTATATGAGGAGTTGGTAAAAAAAATCAATTGATTAAAAAATAAATTTTTTATAAACCAAGAATCGAAATTTTACAACTTTATCACTTTATTTTGTTGCCAATAAGTTCTCTAATTGCTGTCAAAATATCATAAGATTCGAATGAATGGTTGCTGAAATATATCAAAAAGTGTAAAAGCCTGCATAAAAATTTATTTGCAAATAACTCGTAAACAAAATCTTTGGTGTCAATATTGCACACCATGTTAACTTTCAAAATCGGTCAATGAAATATAAAAAATCGAAAAGTCAACTGTAGGTGGGCCACATGACTCAAAATAAACATTTATAAAATAAATGTATCTTTTGATTATATTTCGGTGTTTGTCTTTTTTAGTGCCTTCTCTTGAATTTTTTGCGATTTCTAGTGCCCTTTCCTGCCTATTTCGCTATTCTATTTTGCTTTTTCTAGCCTATTTCGCTATTTTATTTTGGTCCTTTTTATAAGCTTTTAGGTCCTTAAAATCCGTTCCCTGTTCATGGCATTCACATACTGGTAGAGGGGCCTAACGGGCAATTGTTCTCTTGCAAATGTTCCAAACCTGATGCACATGTAATCATAGATCCATTCTTGTTATTAGTTCCTTAAGAAGTTAATCTACATATGTACGTGCATAGTATGCTGCCTTTGAGAATATCAAAATGTTTCGTGTTCTTCGTTTGTTAAATGCCTAAGAGTACCTGATACTCCAGATCTAAACAGATTTGTTTATAGTCCATCTAGTCTTTTCTTCAAATTGACGTATGCAGAAACCCGTCAAATCGAAATTTAATTTTGAGATCGCGGCATTCGATAGCGAGTGTGCTTCGCTCATTTAAATTGTAGTGTAGAGAAAACAGCTGACATTTTGTTCCATTCGATTTGAAACGAGTAATCACTCGATCACGAATGCCGCGATTCGGACCCTGAATTTGGTCGCAAATTCATTGTCTACAACAGACATGACACTCTGCTGCCAGGGCGAATATAATCTCTGATTGAAAAGGATTGTTCAATAGTCTATAGGATTCCCTCAGTGCACACTGGTTTCAGAAATCCAATTGTTGGCATAAATTCGAAAAAAACTTACGTTTTAGAAAAAAGTGTGTATAGTTTTATATAGAGCAGCAGGCTTCGTTTGTTAGAAATAAACGTCAGATCAATTTCTGAGAAATTTACAGAATAGCTGAATGTGTCCACTTTTTAATACATATTTGCAAAATCGTTTTATATTTGTGTGTATGTACAGTGGTCCACAAAATAATAGGAGTGCGTTATTTTGGTCAGTTTTTGCTATTTGTTTTTTGTTTATTTAATGTTTATTATTTTTATACAAAAGTCAAGCTGGGTATACAACAAACAACGAATAAATTCAGATTTCAACCTTTGTACAAAAATTATTAAAATTCTGTAAATTTTCACCAAAATATCAAACTTTNTATATGTATTGGCTGTCATTGAAACAATTTTACGCGCAATTCATACGACCCATTTACAATATGTATGTACATATGTATATACGCCCACGCCCACACACAGTCGGCGCAGCAATTCATTTAGCCATTGCAATGCGTCGATTTGTTTATTTTGCCTTATATGTTATACGCTACTATGTCACTTTTACAATAATCTATATGTATGTAAGTAGCGCCAGCAGCGGCGGCATAGGGTAGCGTAGAGAAGTATAGCGGCTAGCCAGCAACTTGCGCGTAATGCAATCAAGAATGAAATCATTTGGCGACGCTGCTTACGGTTTTGCCTTTTTTGCACATAATAAATGAGCGCCAGTAAATGTGTGTATGTAAATATGTTCAAATGTAGGTGCGTGTATATACGTGTGCTATATTTACTTATGACACTGACATTGACCCACCTACGCCACCGACGCCTGCCGACTTGCCCCGCTTACAACTCTCCGTTGCTCCTNATTTTTGCACTTAATAAATGAGCGCCAGTAAATGTGTGTGTGTTCAAATGTAGGTGCGTGTATATACGTGTGCTATATTTACTTATGACACTGACATTGACCCACCTACGCCACCGACGCCTGCCGACTTGCCCCGCTTACAACTCTCCGTTGCTCCTCATACGCCGCGCGCTGATCATTCATGAGCCATCACTTTAATTAAAAGTGCCAACTACAGGNTTTTTTGCACATAATAAATGAGCGCCAGTAAATGTGTGTATGTAAATATGTTCAAATGTAGGTGCGTGTATATACGTGTGCTATATTTACTTATGACACTGACATTGACCCACCTACGCCACCGACGCCTGCCGACTTGCCCCGCTTACAACTCTCCGTTGCTCCTCATACGCCGCGCGCTGATCATTCATGAGCCATCACTTTAATTAAAAGTGCCAACTACAGGCGTTTTTTCGCAGTGTTTAGTGTTGTTGTTGTTGGTTAGTCTGTTACATAACACACAGATGACAGGCGAATTTGTGTTTTTATAAGTTGTTTTACGGCAACTAGTCAGATGTGTGAGCAGCCGCCCGCTGCCCGGCACGCGTTGTAAGCGCCACGCCACACCCTTCTTCGATTGGCATGATTGCTGTTAGCGCATTGCGTGCGACCACCAGCTGTTTACGAGCGCTTTTCTTACAGAATTTTTTTCTTTCGTTCTTTCTTCCAGACACTTGTTTTCTCATACACTTGCACATACGCTTTGCTTGTTTCGGCTGTAATCATTTTTCGTTTTCTCTCTTCTCTTACAGGCTCAGCGTCCGGAAAATACCGTGATGCAGGCTCTGGAATCACTCAATGATTCTCAAGTGAATGACTTTCTGAGTGGCAAAACTCCTTTGAATCTAAGCATGCGACTCGGTGACCATATGATGCTAATCCAATTGCAACTAAGCACAGTGAATCCAGCAAATGGTGGCAGTTCGGCAAGCGGCAATCACAGCAGCGGTGGTGGTGCCGGTAACAGCTGCTCTGGTAGCAGCTCCTCAACATTGCGTGCACGTTCCAGTCAACGTAACAATCGCTCGGCCGTAACTACGGGCCACAGTCATAACCATAATCACCACCATCACCATCATCACCACCACCATCATCAGCCGACAACAGCTGCTGGTCACTCCTCAACAACATCAACCAGTGCCGCTGCAGTAGTGAATGGCTGTACAGGACAACAGCGCAGCAACAGCGGAAACGTTACCGCCAGCGCACGCATACCAGTGGGCCCAACATCGCAATCGCTGATGAGCAACACAGTCAACGCTACCACTATGACCTCGCATGCAGCTTCAAAAACGGCAACTAGCAGCAACGGCGCTTTTAAGAGTTCAGACCTGAGCGCATTCTTGAGCAAGCGTGACTATGAAAATCTGCAGAATATTGTAAAGAGTATTGCCATGTCGCAGCCAGCGCGGTTAACTTCGCCTCCTACAGGTCACACGATGGTTCAGCAGTTGCGCCAATGCGCTCCTAACGTTGTGAGCAACAACATTGTCACGTCCACCACGGCCAACACGGCTGCCACAGCTGGCCCGGCAGGCTTCCACAACTCGCGTGCTTCTACAGCGGCGCCAGAAGGTGCTAATGCTGCTACTGCACTACTGGAACAGTCGCCCATCAAATCGCTTTCGAACCTCGTTTCCAGTCCCATCAAAACGGCTGCCATAAAGAGCATTCCTATCTCTAAAAGTAGTTGCGGTGGTGAAAATTCTCACAGCAGCACCACCACCAACAGCGTTGCTGTCGAAGCTACATGCCAGGACCCCATTGCCGCTAAGCTCACCTCGTGTCTGTGTACACGCCTCAACGGCGGTGCATCGGCCGACAAGGACACTTGCATGGATACCAGCTCGTCCTGTAGCGCAGATGTTGGTAGTGTTACACCTACACATACAGAGGCAATGATTGCAGAACATGGTGGAGTCGTTGAGCCACATCTAGTGACCAGTACATTACAGAAGCTTATTTCCGGTAGTGGCGGTAGCAGCACGCCTTTGTCAAACTCGTTGCACAAAACTGCTAACAATCCAATCACACGCTCGAAGCATCGCAGTCATCACCATCACCACCACCATCACCATCATCACCACTACCACCAGCAGCAGCTGCAAACTAAAACGCTTTCGCCTATATTGCGACCAAAGGCCAGCACTAGCGCCTTACCACGTCCTATACCATTAACCACGCAAGGCTTGGATGACAGCGGAGTTGGCGCTGATGCCGACACCAGCATGACCAATGCATCCACTGGCAGCATCAACACTAATACATCATTGCCACTCGCTGCAACCGCAGCGCCAGCTACACCAGCAACACCGACGACCAACAGCGAATTGGATGATTCCGGTGTTGCTGTCTCAGATTCACGAAACCTAGCCGAGGCATCGCGCAATTTGACGCAGACGTTACGCAAACTCTCAAAAGAAGTGTTTACCAATAAAATTGATTTATCTGGCGGCGAGGAAACACCACGCAAAAGCAATTCGGGCGCTGTTATCGAATCAATGAAGAATCACGGCAAAGGCATCTACTCGGGTACCTTCTCAGGCACGCTCAACCCAGCGCTGCAAGATCGTTATGGGCGCCCCAAGCGCGACATCTCCACCGTTATACACATACTGAATGACTTGTTGAGCGCCACGCCGCAGTATAGTCGCGGCGCGCGCATTAGCTTCGAGGCGCCTTCCTCTTCTTCAGCGGCAGGTGGTAGTTCCAGCGCCAACGGCACGGTAGTGCATGGTATACGTAGCAAGCAGGTGAGTAAATAGCATAATATATTTGAAACATAAATATGTACTTACTTTCTCTCTTTGTTTTTGCAGCTCTCCATGAAGCACGGCCATCACCAGCATTCGCAGTCTTGTGTAAAATACCTGAAATCACAACAGCAGCACGGCAGCAGCAACGCTTGCGTTTATGGCGAATGCAACGGCCACTATGCCAGCAGCACGAAAACCTCATCCACTCGTAAAGATGCTGCAGGCGCCACCACCAACACCTCCAGCGCCACTTCTCCGGCCGATGAACGCACTATATGCAGCTGTCGGTATCGCAGCAATAGTGAGACCGGCGAACGCGAACGTGAACAAATGTGCCAAAAATGTGTAACCGACATGGAGAATTCGAAAATGAAATCGAAGATCGACCAGCTGCGGCAAGTGATGCTACAGAGCAAGCAACGTCGTGAGGCGCGCAAATTGAAGGGCGCACCATATGGCGCGCGGGCGGCCACCGCCAGTTCTCCCACCAAAGCGGCAACAGCGGCAGCGGCAACCACCGCTATCGCTGTATGTGCAAACAGCATCTCGAATAGCAATGGAGCGGCGACTGCAATGCCTTCAAATAAACCTTCCACATTGAGTACAACAAGCACACAGCAGTTGGCAGCGGCCAACAACAGTAATAACACAACCACGCCCAGCGAAGTGTCGCCCAATCATATTGTGGAGGAAGTGGATACAGCAGCTTAAATAAGTGGAAGGTGCATATCACGGCTATGGACTAAAGGAGCAGCAGTGATCTGCGTGCTACGTCAGCATGCGGCGCAGAAATGGAAAATCATACCACACACAATCACGAACACACACACACACACACACTTATACCTACACCCTATTCGGCCAACTTTGTCCTAACTTGTAGCATTTATTAGTTTATTGACTAGGCAAAATTTATGCAAAACAATCCTCGTCGCTTTTGTGTAAAAAAATCTCGCAATAAAAGGTACAATTTAATGCATACAAACAACAAATTAGCAAATAAATTGTTTTAGATGATTGATGTATGAATGATGGCAGCGTGTATTGCTGCTAAAGAAACACTAAACTTAATTTTTATGTATGTGCGTAGTAACAACAATTACACAAAAATATTGAAAAAAATACAATAAATGAAATTTTAAATGAAAACCCCAACAACGTAATTTATAATTAGATCATGTGTGCAAATGAGAGCATTCGTTGAAAATCACGTTCAAAAAAAAATTAAAATTTAATAAAACTTATGAAACTATTGAATTTTTCTTAAATTATACAAAATGTTAATTTTGTATTGTATTTTTTACTTTATAAGTAGTGAAAATTGGAAATGTAGACAAAATTTGAAAAAAATACATAATTTGCGAAATTCGACAAACAAACTTAAGAATTAGTACAATTGTTTAGTTAATTGCAAAATTATTAAAAAAAAATTGTCTGCACATCACTTAATAGAATTAAAGAAATATATTTGAAGAAAAAAACTCGGAACACATGATCGCTGATAAATTTAGATAGTTTGCATTAACATGTAACTTGTAACTGTCGTACCAAATTTATGACTACTGCAAAATGGCATAGCTAAAAAGGGCGCGCAACATTAACCAATGCTAGAGAAATGCAACACAAGTTTCTTATATGTAGTTTTATGTGCACAGTCAAGAAAAATATATGTATATTTCCTTTTTGACTGTATCGCAGCGCACGCGTGTTTCATCTTTATAAAATTTATCTTTTTCTAACTATGATGCATTAATTTCATCTTGACTTTTACATAAACACTAAAGGAAAAATTTTCTCTTTGGCTAGTAACGAAAAGAAAAGTTTTTCTCTGTCACTAATGCGACTTGGTCGACTTGAGTCTAACAAAAATTTTTAGTAATTCTAGTAAAAATAAGCGTTCTACGCTTTTATTAGAAATAATTAATTTTTGTAAATATAATTGCAAACATTTTACTTACCGGCTTGACAAAACAAACAAAATATCTCCAGCGTCTGAAAAACAAAGGTCAAGCAAAACTATACCAAGCCTTTGCACGCGACCATAAACTCCAAAGTGTTGCTTTTCCAAAGTGTGTGGTGCTTTATTTTCTTGAAAAAAATTTGCCTTTTCATTGCCCTTTTGGTATTTGTGCGAAGACGGCAATGAGGAGCAAACGTTTTTCGGTAGAAAAACGCGCCATTCGATTCGATATGCAATTAAAATCCTTTAAACGCTATAAACAAGAAATGAAAAATGGAAGAAATCGAAGCATTTTCTACAAATCAACCACTTTTTGGATATGCAACATACATACATTTTGTCAATTTTTGTTAGCGTTGTTTTATTTTGCGCTAGCGGCGCATTTCTTTATTCACTCGAGCTTTAATGAGGCCCAGAATTTTCGGAGCGTTTGCGTTGAATTTGCTCACAACCTTATTACGCATACTTAAGTACACTAATAACTAAAAAAGTAATTTGAATTTAATAATAACAATTCTGGAATGGGGACTGTATCTGTGTACAATTGTGTGTTTTTGATTCATTTATGTTTTCCTTTTTATTAGCAAAAGCAATTAAATGTTATTTACTTTTCCATTATTTACATACTTGTGAAATGTTTTTCAAAAATTTTGGTAAATCAGCTATTGTAATTTTTGTTCGTTAGTTAAAAGTTTAGTGTGTACAACTACTAATTCATAATGAATTTTACCATATAAAAGAAAAGCAAAAATAATGAAAATATGCAAACAAAATGTTGTTAACCCACTTATTCTACTTACATTTAAAATATAATAATGCTTAATTATATTTTGCATATTAATTTATACATGCATACATACACAAATGTGTTGCGCTTTAAAAGAGTTATGTTTATACTATGTAGTAAAGTTGGCTTATTTTTCGAAGACCAGTTATTCCTACCAATTACAAACATAAATTTATATAAAAAACACTTGTAGTTTTAAATGTTCCCTAGGCACTACTACTTTTATTGTTAATCTTATCTATTATTTCTAACATTATAAATATGGTTTGCTAGCAACAGCAACAAGATTTTCAAACTCAATGTGTTAAAGAGCTTATTATTATTATTATTAGTGAAGTAATTTTGGACAATTGTTCTGTGTCTTTTTGTTCCGTTCTATGTTTTTTTTTGTGTGTATGTTTATTACCTTTGTCGCCTTTCTATTGCAAATTATTCGCTTTATACTGCAATTTAGTTCATTTAATTTGCAATTTATGTTACATTTTCGTTAGTAAAGTATATATACTTATATGCTTAATAAACTTTATGTAATTGAAAATAAAAATTAGTGAAATGGTATATTTAGTTTGAAGAAAAAAGTAAGCTAATTGGTTTCATTTAAAAATTAAAAAAATGTTGTATCAGTTTGCGACAGTCTAGGGATTTCTGAAGTTTTTCTTGAATATTTTGATAGTGTTACAATTGGAAATCTACTGAAAGGCTGCAGAAATTGCGTAAAAAGTAAAACTGGCGCGATTATTGAAGCTCCAAAACACCCATAGCCTATCGACAAAAACATTAAACTTCATGATAAAAAATATTCAATTATATAGCAAACAGAGTCAAATCTAAGAAACTCATTGCAGCTAACTGTTGATATCTCCTACACCACGGAAAAACACTAAACGGGGTTTCTCTGGTAATAAACGGCTATAACTGAATCCTACGTAGGTTCGATTTTCGCGAAATCTACGAAAGTGCTATCACTGCATCCGAATAGATACGAACATAAATTCGAAATTCGTAGACAGACGACGTATGTATAAATAAATGTACATACATCGATCTGCTGGCCGCAATTCAAGAAATAAATCAGTCTTTATCATGAGTTTCATTTTGACCGCACCGGTTCACTTTTCACTTTTGGTTTCCATGGTTTTACTATGGGCGGATGACAAATTTTCGGGTGAATTTTTTTCACGCGAAACTCAGGATAAGGCAGAATACGTTTTTTTGTGAAGCGAGGGAATATTATTTTAACAACAAATTAATAGGAAATAAACCAAAATACATACTCCAATATCATAAAAATTAAATAAAATTAAAAAAAAAAATATTTCTCTTTTTAGAATTATAAAATGTTAAGTAAAAAGAATTAAAAAAAGAAAAAAATCCCTCAGTCCGAGGACTCGAACTCGGATCTCTCGAATGACACTCTAGTGCTTTGCTCACTCGGCCTTTTCGACTGTTGGGACAGCGCGAGCAAAAGGATATAACTACAAACATATGTATGGGCTTGTTCGAGTTGCAATCACAACCGCAGTGTTGCGCGAATTATTAAAGTATCACGTTCTGTGTGAATTTCTAGCAATGTATTATCAGTTGGGCAGTTGCAACAATGTTGCCATTTTTAATCAGTACGGCAGTAATGCCGCTTTTATTACGTGCCTCGAACAGGCCCTATGTATCATGCATTCGAATTCGTAGGTAGCCCTGATAAACAACCCCTGTAGCAATGCATGAATATTGTTCGAAAGTTTTAGGGTCCAATGAGTTGAACTTCGAGTGGGGGTCAATTATCATGGGTATTTGGAGCACCTTGCTCTTGTCAGTTCTGTGAATCTACCTGAGGTAGTCCAACGCTGACGCTAACTTTTATTGCCATCGTACTTGCGTCCAACAAACAAGTCGGCCCTATGATTTCCTCTTCCAAGTCGTTAAAATGGTGTTGCCGACTTCAATCGCTGCCAGCTGCTGTCTGATTAATCTTATTCTCAGTTGGTATCGTGTTTATATTTATAGCCCTTCCAGTCCTACCATAGCTGATGTAAAGAGGTTATGGAGGCTTGGAGTGTAAACACGCTAAATCCGTTTTATGTCTTATAGACTGTCGTATTAATATCGTTCGAAAGAGAAGGAGACCGCATCGTCCGAGCAAAGTAGTTACTGCAATTCAAGGCTATAAGTGTCGGAAAATATTTTATGAGTAAACCTGCTATGTCTAATAATTTCGAATTTCGCTGCTAACACTAATGTCTTTATTGTAGTTCTGCCGGCCACTTGTTATGTTGGTACAAAATATTCAACCCGTCGTCAAATCCATGTGAATAAATTTTTCTCATAACTTAACGTGTAAAACAAAAACGAATTGGGAAAAATTGTTTGTGTTTTGCTTTATAAATATTGGAAATATTTCTTCATGTGAAATTCGCGATAGGGCCGATTAGTTTTTGTATATATTTATATATACCTATAGTTACGGTGACCATATTTATGAGAGCTGAATACGGGACAAAAAATAATTTTGCAAATTTTTTCCACAACATTTTTTTCATAAAAAGTAAGTATGTATGTTCGACCATTTTTTAAAGAGAAGCAAATAAGCAGAACTTTCCACTCGCACTTTATTATACTCAATTTTAATGAGTTATAAAACTGCTAACAAATTTTTTTTTTAAGAATCTAATTAAAAAGTCTGAAATTTTGGTGAAACATTGCAGAATTAATTTTTATAGTTTTTTTGCATAAAACTAGAAATTTGTTGTTATATGGTTTTTTTAGGAAAAGAGCTTTACTTTCATAAAATAAATAATAAATATTAAATAAACTAAGGAAAAATAGCCAAAACTTACTAAAACGTCGAGTCCTAATTTCTATTTAGGTCACTCGACCTCGATTCGAATCACAGGCATTCAGATTAGAAAATAATAACTGTTTATGGAGAAAATTACGTTCATATACCAACATCACTTAAAACTCGTTCATTGGCATGCTATTTCAGTAAGCTGTTAAGGCGTCGAAACACGGAATACGGGACAAATACAGGACATTAAATGAAATGCAGAACATTTACGTATAAAGTAAATAAATTACCAGGAC